ATAATTGTTTATAATTATTGCAAAAATATATTAATTTATGTATATATATAAAATCCATTAACTTTTATTTCAATCATTTTATCATCATAAATGTAAACAGATTATATCTTCTACCTCTTGAAAGACAGAATATGAAAGTGTATTTGTGAAAATATTTTATACACGATGTAACTGCTCTTTATTACGAACGTTTTGATTGCTTGTGAAGATTTTATGCAAAAAATTAAATAGTATATACCTTTTTTATATTTTCAATTATATAATTTATTATTACAACATTATACATAGTATTACTCAAAATTCATATATCATAGATAGAATACCAAGAAGTACAACATTGCATCTTTCGCATTCTAAGAAGGGTTAAAGACCAAGGATGTTGCGCTGCAACATTATACGCTGCGACCGCCCACGAAATTGCGCCGGACTCGTCTCGGGCATAGGTCAACGAACTCGAGGGGCCCGGAGGTCGGGTCCGGGAATCCGCGATTCGCATTATATTACCGCGATCTCGTTGTGCCCCCTTAACACCCCGCGCTGCGCTGACCCAACGCGGATGAAACGAGCCTGAAACATCTGTCCGGCGCGGCGCGGCGGGCCCTATGGCGGACCCCGAAGACGTAACAATCTTCGTCGGGGAAATACGGGCGTATTTCACTTTCGCCGGAGTATGCATTCGTGTATGGCGATTACAGCCGTGCAATGTTCATGTGTTTATGTATAAATGTGAGTGTGTATGTGTATATGTGAGCGTTTAAATATATTTGAGGGTGAGTGTGTACGTACATTTGTGGGACCTGCCCGGAAAGGCTTCGCGAATGTGAGCTGGCGCGGCGTTCGCGCATTGTGCCATTGAGGCACACGGCCCTTTCGGGGTACGTGTGAAAAAGAATGAACAAAAAAAAAAGGGGGGGAAATGAATCTTCTTGGTTCTCAGGCGATCGGCAGACGGCCAGACAGACGGATTAACTCGTTTTAAAGGGACAGCCAGACGCCATATTGTTGTTTTGGGGCCCGTAGTTTAGGTACGATGCTCCTCTCTCTCTCTCGGCGCGACGAACCGGTCTGTTTTCGTCTCCCGAGAGATGCAGCAAGTAAATGGCCATTGTTCGTCGAAGGGAGTCAGAGAGCTTGGGGATCGAGCGAACGAGTTTAAATCGGATCGTTTCGGATTGCCAACGTAGAAAACAAGCATGACAAGTTGATACCAATTTTTTAACTCTGAATTTAACGATGCGCTTTATAAGTTCGAGCTGTGTATGTCGAAATTATTTTGTTTTAAATCTTGGGAGAAATCGACATTTTGACTAATTTTTAAAATTAATCCCGTATATATAGCTTTGTACTTAATATAATTCCTAGACTTTTAAAATTGCTCTTGCAAATGATATCTTCAACTTTTTTTTGCGTAACTCCGCGTAAACGTTTTATTACGCTGCTCTGTAATCGGGAAATAATGATGCCTTAGCTATTTTCATAATGCGATTTTAAACATATGTAATCCTGTGTTGATGCAACCTTCGCTACAAAATCATTAAACATAGTTAAAAGATTGTCAAAGGCTTACGTCTTTTTATTAC